TTAGTTTTCAGTTTGATTGAAGAGAAAGCAAAGAGTCTAAGGTATTGGAGAGGTTCTACTGATACAGCCACTGCCCAGTCTATTAAAAGAGGGCATGTCTCAAGAGTATTGACACATTGGGAAGAATTCATTCTTACTCTTGTCTTACTCTTGTGGTGAAGAAAGTTCACCTTATTTCTCCATCCTATTGTCGTGGACCAAGACTTTCCTCTCGTGGAACAACTCATACTCGGCGTGTGGCATCATTAAGATCTCATGTCGAAAGGAATATATTGAAACTAAAGCAATTTCAGATTTTATCAGGAGTTATTCCATTGACATTAAAACCAGTTTTGGACAACATTTTGTTTATGTGTGCGCTTTATGTAATTTAGGAAAGCGTGGTATAAAGTAATCCTTACATAATCTAAAATAAATTATACTTAATATTTTTATTTTGAAAAACTATTATTTGTAAATATAAAATTTTATCATTGCACATATTTCAATAAAAGACTACTAATAATATAATTCTTATAGAAAAGAAACACAGTTTTAAATACATCACTCCAGAAGTCAGCATCAAATGGTATTTCTACAATATCAATTCCTTTTTCTGTAAATACAATAAAATCACATTTGTCGATTTGACTTATAGCCATACCCATTTGGACTTGAAAGTAATGTAAATGGTTCCTGTTCAACACTTTCTTTCCACTATCATTAGTTTTCCCACCAATAGCTGTTGAGAAAAATGCAGATTTGGGATCCATATTCTTGCATGTTAGAGGGCACTTAATTTCAAGTGTCCTTGAGCCACAACATTCACAATGGCAAATTCCATCCAAACTCACTCCCATCCATAAATTTTTGGGATCAACAAGCAACCCAGGTTCTTCTATTTTAACTTTTTTCATGCTTCTTTGTACGCAGTCTCTTGTAAAGATACAGAGCCTCTTTTTCTTTGTCTAGTCCATATTGCATAGCATTTGAGTTTATCAAATTGTTCTTGTCTTCCAAAAAATTAGCAACAGTTTTTGATATATCAGCCGAAGGGGTGCGCTCTTTTGTTTTTTGTCTAGTGTAAATAGCTTTGACTTTTTGCCTGTTACCATGGCATGTCTCATTTTATGCCATTCTTCATTTTTGGATTGTCCTTTTGTTGCAGCTGAAATGAACAATTGTTCTTCTTCAGTGCATTTTAATGTGCTAATGAAGATATCACAGGCTTTCTTAACTCTTTTTTTTTAATCAAATGTTGATTTTCCCTTGCAAATATTTTAGCTTTTGTTTCTATGTTAAGACTATTAAGTTTAAAAACAGTTTTCATTTTTTTTACTTTGTCTGAATGTGGGCACTCAGGAAGGAAATCCAAAATACCAGAATTTTCATCAATGTCTCTCAACTTCCTGGCAAATTCTACTTTGTCTACTTCACTTATTGTGGTTCTCATACGATTTGGCATTGGGTCAAATGAGTCAACCCAAGAGTCGTCGAGAGATACATGTTTCCTTTTTGTTTGGTTTCACCAAGTGACAAATTTTCATTTCCAGCAATGGTAAGGGCTTATTTCTTGGTGTTGGTTTTGGTTGCCAGTATGCTGGAAGTGAAGTCACTGAAGTTCTTTCACCTGACAAAAACTCTTCAAGTTCAAACATACAAGCACCCAAGTGCTTGCATCCCTGATCTGAACCACCTTTACATTCACAAAATGCAGAAAACACAGAGCCATTTGGTGAAAGTATGAACCAGGATCTGTATTCTTTCATGCCTTCTGGTGTTTTGTCCCTTTGTGTGGGTAAAACACTGCCAATGACAATGTGAAACTTGCTATCATCGTTGTCATAGACAAACCTTCGTATTAGTAGTCACTTTGAAGTTTTTCCTGTTGATCAGCTTTTGCCAAGCATTCTTCTCTTTCGCGTTTTCGGAGAAAAAGCGAAGAATACCAACGTGATCGGAAACGATATATTTTTCAGGATATCTTCTATCGTTATCACAGCCATAAACAGCACAGTGATCCCCTTTTCCCATTATAATTTGAATATAAACTCTTTACGAAAAGATATTTTATGAAGATACACAATGTTTGCCCCCTGGCGATCCCAGAATGCATTGCAAAATTGTGATGGAATCTATTCGAATTAACTGATATTTAGCAAAACTATTCTTGCCTATACACAACTTAAGATAAAAAAAGTTGAAATGTTTGAAATTGGGGCGTTTCTAAGAAGAAGTATTGCCAATTTTTTTTCGACTAAGCTGAAACATAACGCAATTTATCATGAAAAATGCTTTACTAATTCTTAGATGTGCATGCAAATAAGGATAAACCAGAAAATAGATCTTATTTTTGCCAACTTAAAAAATGATATAATCATTAAGTTTTATCTTTACGCTGTTGACAGCTCCTGTATGTTTGTTTGTCAAAGCGAAAAACGTTGATTGCTATTAAAGAAGAAATATTCTATAAAAGTCACGAAAACGTCTGAAACTTTAACTCCCTGTCTCACAAATGAAAGTATCAAGTGTAAAGTAAATATTGACTTTCATAATTTATCAGTACTTGTGTAGCTATAAAAAAGCATGTCGAATCTTTGTTGCCATTATTTGGAAACAAGATCTTGGAGGAGTTACCGAAAGTAGAAAGTAAGGTCTCTTTTTCTTTGTATTTTAATTAAAACATGTTTTATCAATTTCGCCGCGTTTTTGCTTAGTTTGAGCTGCATAGTCTTTTATCAAACTATCTTTGATACGATATAGCTGTTCAGTTGGCCTTGACTTGTCTGAATTATTTTCAGTAAGTTCTACAACCTTGAAATTGTAGTTTTTGAGTTGTTGTCACTAAAACATTTGTTAATCTTTTGTTTTTTTCTGTGCGCTTAGTGTTATAATACTGTTTTTAAAGCCTAGTTTGCATAGTTACTTATAATTTAAATTTGCAACTACTCTTTTGTCTGCCCACATAAATTTTTATATGCACAACTTGCATATACGGCAAAAACTACAAATCTTAAACAAACAGCAGATAAAGTGACGAATTTTCACCGAAAGCTTTCGTTGTATTACAACTGTAGAATACTGATGCATACCGAGTGCTAGCCGCTAAGAGAAATAGTCAAACGTTTGAGTTGTATTTTGTGCACAGTTTTACGGGAAGCTCTTGCTATGAAATTTGAGCATACGTCATTTGGGTGACATTCACTGCATTACATGTACTTGTATTAAAAAAGGTGAAAGGTCAACAATTGCAAAATATTTGTCAACCGCATTTTACTCATTTCACGTAACACGTTACAAGGTATTTTAGTCCATACAAGTATTTTCACAACCAGGACTTTTACATAGCATTACTGCAAGCATTTTATCTGTTTCTAGAATAAAAGAAAAAGCATACACATATCACAATTCCTGTTATAATGATCAAGGCATGACATAAAGTAACTGTAGATTTACAATTAAATCTTTTCTGAACATAAATATTTCCTGATATTATGTGCTATGCACAACGTCAATTTCAGATCGTTTTCAAAAGTTATTTTAAACAGCGTCAAAGTTTATCACCATATGCATTACTTTTAGTATCATATCTTTGAAAAGAAAACTTTCTATGTGATAAGTATAAAACGGACAATGTTGTCCAAAATACGAATGATGCGATGCCAATATAAATTAAATTCCGCGAAAGTTAAGTTTGCTTGAAGAAGCTAACTATAAAACATCAAGAGTTGTTTGCTTGTGTCACTATAGATTTCCCTATTGAAGAATAATCAATTCTCAGTAAACTTTTACCACATTATAAGAGGAGATTATTAGAACCAATTCATAAATTCACAAACCAGGCAAGTAACTGCTTTTCATTGATACATTATTTTAACATTTCTCGCAGCCAAATATTTACAAAAAAAAAATCGACAAAAGAGTACTAAACCAAGGAAGATTATTTCCAACATATTTTCTGTAAGCATTTTGCACAGTTAAATCGCTATATCTGTTTATAGTTTCTTAGTTTATCAGAAGAATGTTATATTTTTCATAATATATAAGTTTAATTGTATATTTTACATCCAAGGAATGTTTGAAACACTCGGGACTCTAATGTAATAAACTATGAAAACGCGCAATGTTGGTGAGAAATAATCTAAAATTAAAATATAGAGTGCTTATAATTCCAAAGCTTTGGCAAAAGTAAATTAATTAAGAAGTGCAAGAATTTTAGAGGTGACGAGGCAACAGTTTCAAAGTGTGCAGTTTGGGAAAGATAAACGCATGCTGTGCAGGATATATACTTGCTGATCTTCTTCCAATTCATAAAGATAACCCCACTTATCTGGATCCCAATAAACAGACTAAGGAAAATCTAAATTGTTTTTGATTAGATTAACTCATATGTGGCTTAAACCTAGTAGTTAAGATTGTAGGCAAAAAAAAACCTCTTGTAAAATGTCTACACTCGAAAACAAAACAATGGTATTGTAGCTAATGAGTAATAATAGAAATGTCTGCAATTATGTCCAGAATTATTCAAATCAAATAAGATGTTTAACACAAAACCATTCAAGCAATATAGACCGTTAGATCCCTCAATCATGGCAATATTTGATTTAACTTTAAACTATTAAGCTAGTTTCGTTTGATTGTTATACAAAAAGTTTTTTTTAAAAGATACTTAAAATGCTGCATATAATTTTGAGCAAAAACTATTTCGTTTTAGGAAGAACAATGAAAGCTGCATCTGGAATTGTTTTTTTTACAATTTTTATTTCTGTTTGCAAAGGTATTATAACTCATATAATTTTAATTTTTTGAATCTTCAATGACTTCTGATGCAAAAATACTCTTCTATTTACAGGAAATATAGCAATCGAAAATAAGAACAAAAACATTTTTATTTCGACCAGGAACAACTATAAACATTACTTGGTCGTATAAAGTTTCTTCCCCCTTTATGTATCGGAGATGGATGTTCACTGCCTATGGCTCCTCTTCCCGTAGATTACTTGCAGACATTTTTGATAACAGCGGAATTTCATATCATCATCATCAAATCCATCTGAAAATTTATAAACCATTAACCTTAGAATTAATTAATATGAACAGCAGTTATAATGGGGAATATACACTAATCATTCATAGCTCAATGGGACACTATTCGAGGAGTATCAATGTGTATATCGTTGGTAAGCTTTGATTTTATTCATTAGGTTCATTGTTTTGTGGCTAGGTACTTCTTCATGCATAGACATTATCTTTATTATGCATGTTGCCGTTTTAATGATCTTTAAATGTAAATTATTGGGGCAAAAAGTTATGATATACCAAATGCCGAGAGCATTTTCAACTATAAAGCTATCCAGAAATTCTACTTCTAGAAATAGTAACTTTCTAATGTTTTTTCAGCGTTGTTCACCGTTAAACTGTGCATTTTTTTGGTTGTGCTTGCAATGTATATGATTGTTTTAGGTAATAAATTTCGTGAAAAAAAGGTTTTCGTAAACATTGCTTTAAGAACTTTTTTTAAAATAAAATATGCGAATATCACCAGCTCATTAGTTTAAGCACCAAAAACAAATGAAAAAATTAAGTTGTCAAATTTGCTTAATTCTTCAATATGAAATTCATAACTAACTAACAGTTTCCTGAGCTTGCTTGAAGTATCGTGTCATTGTGAGAACTGTCACAAAACTCAATTTTTTGTCCTTGCATGTGATGGCAACAGGATGCATTTTTATATTAAAAATAATTAGAGGAAACAGTTATAAAAAGTATGCATAAAGTTCCCAAAGCAAAAAGAATTGCAAAAATAAATCTTATTATGTTTACCTACGCTTTTGTTTTAGTTCCCACATCATGTTTATCAAGGTTTTCAACAACGTTTTCAACCGATATGCCTTCTACTAAAAACGGTATCTTTATCTATTCTTTGAATTATTCCATTTTGCAGTGTCGAATTGTAGTGTGCATTCTTTTTTGCTTGCTACTTGCAGTGAAAATTATTGTTTAAAGTAATTATAAGTCCGTAAGTTAAAAAGTTTTCTAGAACATTTTCTAAAGAATTTTTACCAAATCAGAATATCGTCAACATTGGCTTTCTTCCGTAGTCCGTGTGGTTTTCTGATATTTAAAATGTAGCTACATTACATGATAATGTTGTAAAAGTTGCTTATTAAAAATAAATTATTTCAATCTAAAAGAGGAGAGAATAAGCTAATTCAAATTTTTGATTAGTTAAAGTTAACAAAAATATGATGTTCATTTGAAGGCAATCATGATGTATTATGCAAACAATAGAGGCCGGTTGCACGAAGGCCGAATAGCTTTGCATTAGATAGCAAATATTTTTAAACTTTCAAAAAATCTCTTATGAAAGAAAATTATACAATTTTAAATGTTCAATCACTGAAATAAAATATTGTTTCGAAGATTACTAAATTTTTTTGTCGCAACAAAAATATAAACACCATTTCTACAAGTTTGAAATATTTTGCTATCCATTGAATAACGCTATGCAGGCTTTGTAAACCAGCCCCTGAATTAGAATAATTCTAGAATGAATATTATGCAAGCAAATTTTGTTATACTAGGTTCCATTGAGGCCCTCTCACCGACAATCCAGCAATCAAGTGTCTTTGCCTCTACAAAGGGTAACTAAGTTTTTCAAGTTTACTTTTTTGCGTTTTGCAAATGTTCAGCCCATAGTTTAAAGTATAACATGCTTATAATGCAAAAAACATATTGCGAAGAAAAAAGAACTGTTGATCGATGTTGAAGCGTTTTTCGTGTTGTTTTAACACACGCAAGTCAGCACGCGTGGTTTTTCATTTTAACACATTTAATTTTGCAGTCTAATTGAAAAGAAATCGGATAAAGCTAACAATATGAAATTTTACAAAAATTCAAACTTGCTGACTGCATTGTGCTGACTGCATTCTTCCAATGATAGTTTTTGTGATGCTTGGTAGCATTTCATGTCTACTTAACATTGCCAAATATTGGATTCATTAACTTTTAAAATCTTGTATAAATTAAAAGGCATTTAGCATTATTTAATTTCGTTTTTTCGACACAAAGGAGAGCAGTTGCGTCTACAATCAGGCCAAGTGGAAAGCATTATGTTAATTTTTCGAAAAGATGAGCTCATTCTTCTCATCAACCATATTTACAGAGTTTTCGGCAACATTACCATCTTCAAGATTTCCTACTATACCTAATAGTAGGGAGCACACAACCACAGCAGTTACTTCTCCATCTTTACCTGATCAATGCAACCTGGATTCTAAATCAAAACTACACCGTCACGTTTGGCTGTTGATTTGGACTGGTGGTGGGGTGTTTGTTCTATTGCTACTTACAATTATTGCTTTATTAAGTGTAAGTTAAAGTAATTTGTTTATAATCTTATAGTCCAATTTTTTGTGTCAGGAAAATATTCAAAATCTGATTATTTTGAGTAAAAATACTTCCTTGGGAGCGAGCATACTCCAGAAGCTGATGTAACATTTAGTTACAGATACTAAAAAAAATTAATCACTCCTAAAAGTTGTTTCTTCTATGTTTTAACACAAACTTACAGCTCTTTTAAAACATGCATGCGAAGAGCTAAATAGCATGTCTATACATCTGAGATAAAATTTTATTACATGAGTAACAATTTTAACAGTTCCTCCTTATTGTCTATTTTTTTAGTATAAAAACAGAATCCTTACGAAGAGAGTTGAGGTCTTTGAAGGACTCCAATTAAAAGAAATGTCTTGATGAACAGTGATGAACAGTTGATGAACAGTTGATGAACAGTTCAGTTGATGAACAGTTGATGAACAGTTGATGAACAGTTCTCCCCTGTGATGAACAGTTGTTTTTTATTTTGTTTGTTGTGACGTAGCGCGTGCGTTTCACGTGATTCACACTTTGGGATTATTACAGAAGGGCGGTGTTGTTGTTTTAAAATAAAAGATTTCGGGTTGTTGTTGTTGAATTATGTAGTGTTTTTCTTTTGACGACTTCGTTGTAAAAAAATAGCGATTTTATCATGCAACGTGCATGACATGGCGCCCAACGTGGGGCGGCTTTAACGAAATAAAGTCGCCCATATTCGTTTCTTACGAAAATGTCGACTGAAGACAAGGAAAAATTGGAAAGGCTTCGTGCTAGAAGAAAAGGACATCGCGCAGTGTGTACAAAACTCGAGAAAGAGTCAGTTGAATTGTTATCACAGCCACCACATGAGGACCTTGTAGAACGTAGCGAAATCATCGCACAACAACTCGAAAGGAAACTAAAAATATTAAGTGAACTCGACGAAGAAATATTGAACACGTGTGATGTCAATGAAATACAAGGTGAAATCGAGGACTCGGCCGAAATTTCGGATAGAGTTATGAGTATAAAACGAAAAATCGAAAGGTATATTAAATGCGCTAAGAATGACAGGCTCGTTGATACGAATGTCAACGATACCATATCGAACTCGAATTTGACGAACATGTCAAACCCTGGCCAAAACGAAAGTATCGAGAATTCTAACGAAAATTTGGCAAATGCGACGGAAAACTATGGTTTAATCGAAGGTTCAAGTAATCAAGCGACGATCGAAATTGTAAACGAAGGAAATGTAACGAGTGACAACACTACGACGACGGTTCAATATAAATCAAATATGCCGAAGCTTCCTAAGCTGGAGCTTCCGAAATATGGTGGCAAGGTTACGGAGTGGAGTTCGTTTTGGGATCTGTACGATAGTGCGATTCACAGTAATCCAAACATTTCGAAGGTAAACAAATTCAACTATCTGAAATCGCTTCTCGAGGGAAACGCAGCGAGGGCCATTAAAGGTCTAACATTAACTAATGCAAATTACGACTCTGCTGTAAAAATCTTGAACGATCGCTTCGGGAAAACCCAGCAAACCATAGCAGCTCACATGGATGAAATTTTAAAGATTCAAGCTTGTGCCAACGGTAGAACTAGCCAAGTAAGATACATATACGATAAAGTAAGCGTTCATGTACGAGGATTATCGAGTTTCTTCTGAACAATATGGTAGTATGCTTATCCCGATTATCATGACTAAATTACCTAGTGACATTCGTCTACAAATTGCCCGAAAATCGTCGGGAGACGTTTGGAAAATTGATGAGTTGTTGGATACAATAAAGACTGAGATCGAGGCACGGGAGATAAGTGAAGGAGTGCAATCAAGTCCACAGCCACAGCATGGAAAATATTCTGGAGGTCAGCACCAAACACCCAGAATACCTACGGTGAACGCCTTTTCGACTCAAAATACTTCAGGTAAACATATTCAATGTGTTTATTGTAAAGAGCCACACTTTTCGGCATCGTGTGATAGAGTAACTGATGTGAATGATCGCAAGAGTATATTGAGGAGAGACAATCGTTGTTTTGTATGCCTGCGAATCGGGCATCTCAGTAAAAATTGCGAGTCAAAGAAGAAATGTAGACGTTGTCATGGGGCTCATCATCTATCGATTTGTGAAGTGATTAAGTCAAGTTTTACGCCTCCTCAACAAAAGAATGCAAATGATCCCAAACTTTCCCCCACTGGAAACAACCCAACAGAAAGCAAGGAAGGAAACAACGTTCGCACAGCTACTATGATTGATGGAGATAATTACTTAACGACGAATATGGCAAAAACGCATAATCAAGCTCTTCTGCAAACAGCTATTACATACGCCAATGGTGGGAATGGTTCCATTCCTATACCTGTTCGCGTGCTTTTGGACAGCGGTAGTCAGCGCACTTATGTCACAAATTCATTAAAAACCCGGCTTGGACTAGCTCCCATCAGAAAGGAGGTTGTTAACTTAAATACCTTTGGCAACCAACATTTCACAAAGCAAAAATGCGACTTGGTTCATTTGTCCCTGAAAGGAAAGAATGGAAATCGAATCATAACAGCTCTTTGCTTCCCAAATATTTGCTCTCCGTTAACAACAACAATTGATCTCAATCATTATCCTCATCTGATGGAGTTGCAGCTTTCCGATACCAATATCCTCTCTGGACGAAAGACGGACAGCAACATTGACATTCTAATTGGAGCAGATTATTATTTTGATATCATGACAGGCGAGATTATAAGAAGTGAAGGTGGTCCTGTTGTGATTAATAGTGAATTTGGCTGGATTATCACTGGACAGATGAATGATGGTGAAGCTAATTCGAAATTTTCAAACGTTAATTTAATCATCGAAGATTACTCTTTTTCAAAGGAATTTCCGCTTGACAAGAGAGAACTCAAATTACATGAATGCTTGAAACGGTTTTGGGAGATCGAATCAATGGGAATCAAAGAATCCAACGAATCACAGGATCAGGAGTTTCTGAAGAATATACAATATCTTGAGGATGAAGGGAGATATGAAGTGAACTTACCTTGGAAGGGGGAATATATTCCAAAATCAGACTGTTACGGTATGTGTTTGAAACGATTACACCAGTTGAAATCTCGTCTCGATAAAGATAATCCCTTATTGCAAGAATACGATACAATTATCAAAGATCAAGTGAAAGGAGGAATTATTGACCCAGTTCTTGGTGCTCATGAAACCGGTTATTTCCTACCCCATCATGGCGTGCCGAGAAGATAAGGAAACTACTAAAAGGTAGAGAAATAATGTCTTTGGTAGAGTGCCTGATAAAGCCCTATTCATGTTTTAATTGGCTTGAATTTTTAATTTTTGAAGCATATTTCCCTAAATGTTTTGTTAAATCTCCTCTTCCTGAAGAATGAGCAAAAAATATTTTTCTCGGAAAGAATAGTGTGATATGAAATTATTATGCTTTTGGGTTTTTTATTTTAGTTTTGTTGATGTACATATTTCATCCAAACATTAAAGCTTAATAACTAAAATTTTGACAGACATCTTACAATGAGTGTCATTTAGGTTTTTGTTTTCTTGTTGAAAAGAAGAAGTGCAAGCAAGTACATAGTTTAGTTTGGTTTATTGTTACAGTTTTCACATGCAAAATTAGTTGTGCTTTGCAATTTTTCCATTTTCCACTCACTACAAAAATAATGAATTTCAATTCTAAAAAAAATTACTAATGATAATGTGCTGAAATTTACCCTGTACATGGTCTGAAGTTTGAATTTTTTCTTGTATGCACATGGATGCCAGGGTTTTAGAATTTGTTATCTCTTGACTACTTGTTTGTAAATGTAGATTGTCCAGGTTGGTATAGTCCTGAGAAGGACTGTTTTTGTTGTTGACTGTCTTTTGACTCTGAAGATGACTACCGCTAAGGTTGTCGAAACGTCAGTCAACAACAACAAAAACAGTCCTTCTCAGGACTATATCAACCTGGACGATCTACATTTACAAACATGTAACGATACTCCCGGGTTCAAACCATTTACTTTACTCTTGACTACTGTTAATCTAGTATTCCAAATCAGATTATTATGGATACATACCAGACTTGTCCAAAAATCTTTTCCATTAGACAATTTAAAAAAATATATGAGCTAACAAAATCCAAAAAACATTATCTTGTAAATTCAAGCTTTGAGTGGTAGCGGCAAGAGGCAAGATTTAAAGCAATATTTTGACTTTATTTGGAAGTCATCAAGCAAAGTGATTATTTAAGATTACGCTTGCTTGTAAATAGTCACTTAGCTTGATAATCACTTTGAAATAAAATCGAAATATTGTTGTCTTTTGCTGTTATAACTTGAATCTTAGTTTGGTGTGTGTATTCTCATTTATAGAAAACTAGACTTGTGTTGTAGCACTACTTAAAGGAATGAAATAAGAGACCAGTGAAACATTAATTTCTGCCCCTTTTTAGAAAAAATGTGGTATCCTCTTGGGAGACAAGTGAATTAAACTTGTTAAATTAGTATCCAAAACAAAGTTACTCTATTCAATGAATATTTCGAGACCTTAAACTTTAGACCCTGCATAGTAAGACTTAAAAACTCCAAGCTGCTTGTAGTATTTGTTTTGAGTTATTTCAATTTAATTTTATCCAAGCTGGTTTTGCATACCTGGTATTACAATTGATCTCAAGCTCTTTCAAACTGACGTTTTCCTTTCATTGTTAGACCTCAGTTTATGTTTCAAATTTCAAACATTGTAATTAAATCAAATATATAACTGGACATTGTTTTCTTTGTTAAAGGAAGTTGAAGGCGGCCATTGCAATAATTTTGACCCTGCTGATAAGTGGAGTTGTGCTTTTTTTCCTCTTTCCAAGAACTCGTTCGCTGAAGCTTTTATATGTCCATGATTACAATGCTTCTTTTTCAAATTATAGTGGTTATATGTTCATTAAGGTAAATCTATTTTTTTTATTTATGAAATGTTAAAAAGTTGAAACTTGCCTGCGGTCTGAAAAAATCCTTTCCTGAAGAGCAACTATTTTCCCTGCGTGTGTTAGTGCCTTCCCCTTTTTCAAAGTTGCTCTCACTACGATCTTTATTGATAATATATGGCACAGAATTGTAAAATTGCCTTTTGATTTGGGCGTTGATTAGTTAAATGCTCAAAAAACAGTGTTTCTCTAGTATCATTTCCTTGCAGTTTGCGTGGTTTTTGGTAACTTCAAAGGCAAAATATAAATAATATGTAATTAAAATGAACTGAGCAAATACATCTTATTAACATTATTAATAAAAGGTTTTTCATGAAGAAAACAAAAGACTTTTCATCTGTTTCGTCAAACTCATGTTGAAGTTTAGAGATACGTAGATACTCGAAATTGCTTGTAGACTCTCCACTTCCTGCTCGTGCTTGCCACGCAATTTCTTGTTTCTTCCAATCCTTCCGTATGTTTCTATAACTCTATAGAAACACGGAAAATGTTTTTTTTCTGTGCCTTAACTTCTAAGTAATCTCCAATACTACATTACACTCTTCGGCAAATTGAACAGCCTTAAGTTTAAATTCGTTAGAATAAGAAGAGTTCTTCAATCCTGCGTGCGATGTAGATGCTAGAGTTATACTTTCGTCCATGATGTCAAAGGTAAGCATGCTGTAATGCGAGAAGGCCGGAAAAGACCTCCCATGAGAAGATCACATTGTATCACGTGCTACCAAACACGTGTGTGACATTCATCTGCTGTTTACAACATGGCGCGTTCAAGCTATACCTTTACTTGGCAAATGGTTTACGAAATAGAATTTGCGTCTGTGATAAGAGGACACCATGTTTATAAAGCTGAATGGTCACCACAGCTTGGAGAACGGCTAGTGTGTCGGAAAGACGATCGAAAGGAGGCTAAAGAGCACGATGAATATGCGATTGGAACATTTATTCAAGACAGTGGCAAGCTGGTTGGACATGCGCCCATTGAACTTTCCTTCCTCGTGTTTACATTTTTACGAGCTCATGAGGATAATGCGGTGGAGGTAAAAGTAACTGGAAAAAAAACTTGAAAACGGCCTAGTTGTTCCAGGAACTTTTAAAGCAGTAACACGAAGCCGGCGACTGGGAGCAAAGTTTAACGAGGAACTTGATAAAGTAAAGCTCCTATGTGCCCACATGGATATTGAAATCAAGCAAATGAGAAGCAAACCTCTGAAGAACATTGATTTTGAGTTCTAACGAATGTCCGTTACCGATGTAAAAATTAAAATACTGTGTATCGAACTGAGTACCGAAGTTCATCTTTTATCGGGGGAAGGGTGGGGGGCGCTTATTTGAGAGGACGCTTAGCAAAACCCGTCTTTTCTCGAGGGGGGGGGGGCGCTTATTTCAAAATTTGAGTCCTAGGGGGGGCGCTAATTCGAAGCGGGGCGCTTATTGGAAGCTGGGCGCTTATTCGAGCATTTACGGTAATTCTACGTTCTCTTTGTTTTGACATCGTATTTTACTAAATTTCAGCTTCGTTCCCTTGCGAGAATTTAGCTTTCATATTTCCGCTTGCTTAATAAACGAAGCCTAAAACCCTCTACCCTCTGGTTTTTACTTTTATAAAACATTTACTAAAGTAGTAAATGTGTAATCTTACATTAAAATTCACCACCATCACAGTTGACGTATTGATTCTGATAAACATGCAGCAACCCTTTTATCCACCTGTTGTAATGGTGACAGTTTAACAGATATGTATACCAGGTTGCGGAAGAAAACTAAATAGAGTGATTTCGCAAACACGACGTTTCGATGTTTATATTTTAGCATAAGTTTGTCTTTATTCTTACATCCTTTTCAGAATTATTTACTTTGTCTTCGTCGTAACTGTTAAGTAGTACAGGGTTCGTAAAAAACTTAAACATCCTTGAATTTAAATAGAAATTTTCAATGTCTTAACAGTACTTGAAGTTATTTAAGATGTGCTTGAATTCAATTTAATTTGATCGAATTTTCGTAAAAATGTTATCGCACTACTTTCTTTTCACTAATGTTAAACAACAAAAACAAAAACAGTCCTTCTCAGGACTATACCAACCTGGACGATCTACATTTACAAACATGTAACGATACTCCCGGGTTCAAACCATTTTCACTAATGTTTAAAGACTTGGTGTAAGACGATTGAAATAACCTAAGTAACAGCATGGCTGTTTTCAAGTCCGTGAAAACGCGCCATTTGCTCTCAATTCGCTAGAAGAAGTTGTGTGTTTTAAAATTTTGATGTTTTAAATATGTCTTTATTAAGTTGGGCGTTGTGTTTGCAAATATCTTCCTCTTTCTTGAATTTTTACAAATATGTCATTGAAAAGTGCTTGAATTTCGTTAATTTAGCGTTGTACGAATCCTTGTAGCCTACTAGTTGACGCCTTGGCGCGTTTTGTTATATCGCGCGATATTATTTTGAACAGTTTGAATTGTTCCTTATGCAACTTTTCATATCTTCTTTCATCTTTTACAGCAAAGTCTTGTCATGACAATCGTAAACTTGGCCCAGAACTTTGTCGGTAGCAATAATTTAAATCTGTTGCTACCTATTGGTCAATTTGGCACACGAATTCATGGTGGAAAGGACGCCGCCAGCGGCAGATATATATTTACCAAACTCAGTCCTCTTGCACGGCTTGTGTTTCCCAAACATGACGATCATATTCTTCACTTCCTCGTTGAGGACAATCAAATGATCGAGCCCGAATGGTATTGTCCTATCATTCCTATGGTGTTGGTTAATGGTGCCGAGGGTATTGGGACCGGTTATAGCACAAAAATACCCAACTTTGACGTCAGGCAACTCGTACAGTACGTGAGGGATGTAATAGAAGATCGCCAAACCGAAACACTGGTGAGACTAGTTAATACAAACACTTTTTTGGGGAAACGTCTTTGTATTACCATAGCCCTTTAATTAAAAATTAATTATGCTAATTATTATGACAACCGTGCTCAGCTGGGGAGTGGTTTCGAAATTTTACAAAACTGTTGCAAGTATCACACTTCATTTTTTAAGATGCAGCAACATCGTGACTAATTATTCTTCATGTCGTAGCATCCATGTTATAGTTACAGGGGGGTGTGAAAATTTACGAAGTTGTTACATGTATCACAGTTCACTGTTTTGATACAGCAACAACGTGACTACTAATTCTTCATGTCGTAGCATCCATGTTATAGTTACAGGGTGCGGTTGAAATTTACGAAATTTTTACATGTATCACAGTTCATTGTTATGATACAGCAACATCGTGACTACTAATTCTTCATGTCGTAGCATCCATGTTATAAGAACTTTAAAGGAGAAATCAGACAAACGGATCCACAAAAGTATGTAGCACGTGGTATTGCCAACGTCGTTGACGAGAAAAGTATTGAAATTACCGAGCTTCCTATTGGAACGTGGACACAACCGTACAAAGAAAACGTTTTGGAATCGATGTTGCATGGCAGTAATAAATACAAGGCTTGCATTAGGTAAGCTACGAATATTTAACGTCTTGTTGTGTTTGTTTGTGTGTGTTTTTAGACGAACATACTTGCCTGACGCTGAACTTTACTCGCAGACATTCGTGTTTAGGAATAATTGTGATGATTAATATTAACAATGCGTGACAATTTCAAAAAATTTGTTTTTGAAAGTCATTAAAAACACTTACTGTGTTTTATAAATAATTCTTTTCTCAACAAGGTTGAGAATTATATCATTATATCAAGGTTTATATCATTATATTGAAAAGACGCTCGCTAAGCAGTTTAGCAGATGCTTGTATCAGTCCGCACATTTTGAAGTTTGGTAATATTTATATGAAAGAATGTTATATGCAGTGCGGTGTTTGAAATTAAATGAAGATATGATCTTCGCACTTTTCCTGGACAATTTAAGCAATTGTCTCATGAACCTGAAAAATTCAGGTGACTCAACGGGATTCGAACCCATGACCTCTGCGATGTCGGTGCAGTGCTCTAACCAACTGTGCTATGAAGTCACTTTTCAGGTTCATGAGACAGTTGCTTAAATTGTCCAGCAAAAGTGCGAAGATCATATCTTCATTTAATTGGTAATATTTATACTTATAGCAACTACAAGGAGTACAACACAGACACAACAGTCGAGTACTTGGTAGAAATGAACGATGAGAATAAAATGGCAACGATGACCGAGGCCATTATGAAGAAATTTAATTTGCTGTCGTGTATTAATCTCACCAACATGGTAAGCTAATTAATTTATTTTTCGAAGTTCAATTTGATAAAATCACTTTCTCTATTGCCAATGCACGTGATGTAAATCACCTGGCTGAAATAACGGCCTCGAGGATTGTTGGAAACGGCTGTCTGCAAATGCTATGTCAAGAATGCTTTTCAACCAAGATGCATTGCGCGCTTTTGTTTCTATTTACATCGTTAGTTTTTTAACTTTCGGCCGACTGTATTCAATTTCATCATTACGCCGTCTAATTTATCTCAAATGTCAGCAGAAAACATTGATAAAAAACTCCTATTTTACATTATTTACACTCGTACTACAACATAAGTATCTCCCACATTGTACCAGATCGTTCCTCTATCATCAAATTGTTTGACGCGGATGCTGTGTCTTCAATGCATGATTGTTTTTTTAGGTGTTGTTTGATTCCTACGGCAGGATAAAGAAGTATGAAACGGTTGACGATATCATCCGAGAGTATTACGCAGTTCGCTTAGAGTGTTACGTAAAGCGCAAGGATTTCCTTGAAGGAATGCTTGATGCCGAAGCTAAAAGACTGACTGCTCAGGCAAGATTTATTTTAGAAAAGATTAAAGGTGTTATTGTTATTGGTAAGTTGGTTCATCTTCATGATCGTTGCTATTCCCCCTCGTGAATATGACAGTTTTCTAAAAAGGCTAAAGGAAGTATAAATAGCAATTATGAAATAAACACAATGAAACGCGTGCGCTGATTGGTCTAGAGCTGTGTTTGCATTAGCCTGTGCCAAACACATCTGAGCTCAACGAATCAAATCAATCATAACAATCAATCAGTCAAAGAGAATTTGCAAATCGATCATGAATACATTTTAGAGGAAAAATTAAAACGTTTACTCTAAATTTGTCTGTTTTGCATTATTGTTATTTTATAAAAGAAATAAAAGATGTTTTTCGTATTTGCACTGGCTTATGCAAACCTCGGAGACGTTTGTGAGATCTCTCGAGCATGTGCAACCCTCAACCTTCGGTCTCGGGCTTGCACTGATCTGCTCTCGAGTTCTCCCAAAGGTCTCCTCGGTTTGCATAAGCCCGTACAAACACAGTAAACATCTTTTATTTCTTAAGTAACAACAACATCCAGTCGACAATTTTAAGTTTTTACCGCTGAAATTGTCTGTTGGCCGTGCACCGGAGTTAGGCCGGAGCTCCGGCTATTTTTGCGTGCCGGAGCCGGAGTTTGTTCATCTCTGGTAAAACTCCGGCAGCAGTCGTTTTTGCTGCGAAATACTGTAAAACTTTGGTAAACGTGTCTGATCAAACATTTTTGTATTAACGAACGATAACTATCGGCCAAAATTTGAAACACTTGCATGAAAATAAAAGATTTTATGCATGGCACAACATGGCATGACGCTAGATTGCGTTTACACGTGCTAAATTACGATTCAAAGCAGGACTGCGGAAATTTAACTTTACATATAAAAATTCTACTAATAATTCACCTTAAACTGTTGAACAGTGACTTGCAAAAACTAGCCACAATCAGTGATTCGAGTTATAAAATATCCGGAGCTGGAGTTCAGATTTGACAAGAGGCCGAAGCCTGGTGCTGAATAACCGAAGTTTGCACAGCCCTACTTTATGTAAAGCAATGTCTTTCATTGTATTTGCATATCTTTGAAATAAAAGCGAAAAATTACGTCGATTCAACTATTGTCTTTTTAAGATGGCTATTTTCTTAGGAGTTCGCTTTTTGAATCAGTCAAGACATCAGAGTGCTTGATATTAGAGAGAACAGAAAAAACAATACAGTAAAATACTATCGCGGTGAACTCGTTAATCAGTGACTAAAATCAAATGTTTTATTACTTAGAAAACAAGAAAAAAGCTGAAATAGTTGCGAAACTCGTTCAGCGAGGTTATCCATCCGATCCAGTGAAAACATGGAAAGAGACTGTAAAGAAACCTACATTGACCGTTGTAGAAACTGATGCTCCAGAGTCTGAGAGCGAGATCAGCTCGGATAGTTCGGCTTCGAACATTTCTTCAGGACCTGATTACGGTTATCTTGTGAGCATGGCCATACTTAGTCTCTCAGAAGAAAAAAAGGATGAACTGTTAAAGCAAAGAGATGATAAGGTACAATGAAAATTTATTTTATACAAAGTAATAATGTCAAATATGCGTATTTTTCTTTACCTCTATACTGTCATCTTCAAGTTTTGTTTTTTTTATAGTTTTTCGCGTAATTTTTATAAGTTTGTTCAAAAATGCTTTTCACGAAGTTTACGTACAAATTGTCCAACAATAATGGTTTTTGTTATTGAATTTTGATTGGATGACATTTGTATTGATCATTTTAACTTTCACATTCTCCAATCATAATGGTTTTTGTTATTGAATTTTGATTGGATGACATTTGTATTGATCATTTTAACTTTCACATTGTCCAATCATAAAAGCTTTTGTTAGTGAATTTTGATTGGATGACATTTGTATTGATCATTTTAACTTTCACATTGTCCAATCATAAAAGCTTTTGTTAGTGAATTTTGATTGGATGACATTTGTATTGATCATTTTAACGTTCACATTGTCCAATCATAATTGTTTTTGTTATTGAATTTTGATTGGATGACATTTGTATTGATCATTTTAACTTTCACATTCTCCAATCATAATGGTTTTTGTTATTGAATTTTGATTGGATGACATTTGTATTGATCATTTTAACTTTCACATTGTCCAATCATAAAAGCTTTTGTTAGTGAATTTTGATTGGATGACATTTGTATTGATCATTTTAACTTTCACATTGTCCAATCAAAATTGTTTTTGTTATTGAATTTTGATTGGATAACATTTGTATTGATCATTTTAATTTTCACATTGTCCAATCATAATGGTTTTTGTTATTGAATTTTGATTGGATGATATTTGTATTGATCATTTTAACTTTCACATTGTCCAATCATAATGGTTTTTGTTATTGAATTTTGATTGGATGACATATGTATTGATCATTTTAACTTTCACATTGTCCAATCATAAAAGCTTTTGTTAGTGAATTTTGATTGGGTGACATTTGTATTGATCATTTTAACTTTCACATTGTCCAATCATAATTGTTTTTCTTATTGAATTTTGATTGGATGACATTTGTATTGATCATTTTAACTTTCGCATTGTCCAATCATAAAAACTTTTGTTAGTGAATTTTGATTGGATGATCATTTGTATTGATCATACTTTTTTATCGGATTTGTTAGTTAGAGCTTAAACACTCCCCCCCTGTTTTGAACTTTTTTACTATATAAAGCGGGTGAGAGAGTCTAGGCTCCTCAGACTGTGTAGAAATTTTTCCGCATTGTTTGGAAACTGCATTCCACCAGACAGAAAAAATTTTTCTTGAGTAAAAGTTGTTGGCGTGCATGATTAATGCTGTTGATGTCCCATGTCGTCATTTGTTGACGATCAATCATGTTGAAAATTAAATTTTGTGCGTAGAAAAATCCACCTTGTGCAAAACATCCTTAATGTTACATATGTCGAGAATCGCACTGATTTTAGTGTGATACAAAAACCATGACCAGTCGAAAATTTAAAGAAATATAATATAAAACAAATTCCGAAGAAGCAAGACATCTTGAGATTGCAAAATATGCATCAAAACAAGACGAGAAGTGAACTGTAAGCTTTCTACTTTATTTCAAAGTCATCCTCAGACAGAATGAGGATGATATCATCCTGTCTTTTTTTTATGCATATTTTGCAATCTCAAGATGTCTTGCTTCTTCGGAATTTGTTTTATTTTAGTGTGATACGTAGAGCAATATTTTGGTTTGCAACACGAGGGAACTTAAAAACTTTGAGCGATGCTGGAATAATACAAGCAGGAACTAAAGCTCAACATTCCCTTTGTCGTGACTAGTTTTTGGTTAAATAACAATTCAGCCTGGACCAAAACATAATTTTCTTGTTTTATTAATGAAATCTTTTCATTTAGATATCTGAACTGGCTGCGCTGCGCGAAAAGGCGCCAAAGGATTTGTGGCTGGAAGATCTTGACGCATTTCTTGAAGAACTCGAAGTACGTTTCATTTATTGTAAGCTGCACTGACCGTTGCATGCAACTGTTTCAAGGAATAAGGTCTTAAAATTAATTCATAAACCAAAGCTGAAACGCGCGCGTGAATTGTTATTGGAAATGGTTTTGCTAGCACAAAATATCAAATTTCAAAACTGATCATTTTTAAATGAAGAATAATATTGAGTTATATGGTCCAGTATTACAATGAAAATATTGTCATGGCAATGCAGGGATTATTTCTCGATGTATTTCTGGGGAGGATGCTCTAATATTTTAACCCGATTTTTTGTTGGTTAAGATTGTCGAGACCAAAGAACGCGAGGATGCTGAAGCTTCTGCTGCGAAAAAAGCAAAAGACAAATCAAAGAAAAGCGAAAAGAAAACCGGCAAAAAGAAAGCCGCTGCTAAGTCGAAAAAATCAAAAACTATCACGGAATCGGAAAATGACGATTGCGGTTTCAGCATTGAAAGTGACAACATTTTATCTTTAACCGAGCGCTTAGGCTTAAAAAGATTTGAGGAGACCTCGGACACGAGCTCCGTGAGCAGCAAGAAGTCAAAATCAAGTAAAAGCAAGACGAAATCTGCGGACATTACGTCATTCATGGAAAAAGTGAGCAAGCCTAAAGAGGACACTGTGTCATCTTCCACTAAAGCTAAAGTTAAAAAGCTCATGTCTCCTTCAAAACGGGTAAGTTTTTCACACGATTGAAAAAATTTTATCTTCATGAGCTCATAAACCGTTTACAGAAAGGGTTATGTGGCTGGAAACGTTTTACACACGATTGAAAAAGTTTAAAACTTCATGAGCTCATAAACCGTTTACATAATGGGTTATATGGCTGAAAAAGTTTTTCACCCGACTGGAAAAGTTTTATCTTGATGGGCTCATAAACCGGAATGGGTTATGTGGCTGAAAAAGTTTTACATGCAATTGAAAAAGTTAAAAACTTCATGAGCTCATTAACCGTTTACAGAATGGGTTATGTGGCTGGAAACGTTTTACACACGATTGAAAAAGTTTAAAACTTCATGGGCTCATAAACCGTTTACACAATGGGTTATGTGGCTGGAAACGTTTTACACATTGAAAAGTTTAAAACTTCATGAGCTCATAAACCGTTTACACAATGGGTTATGTGGCTGAAAAACTTTTACACACAATTGGAAAAGTTTAAAACTTCATGAGCTCATAAACCGTTTACACAATGGGTTGTGTGGTTGGAAAGGTTTTACACACAATTGAAAAAGTTTAAAACTTCATGAGCTCATAAACCGTTTACACAATGGGTTATGTGGCTGTAAACGTTTTACACACGATTGAAAAAGTTTAAAACTTCATGGGCTCATAAACCGTTTACACAATGGGTTATGTGGCTGTAAACGTTTTACACACGATTGAAAAAGTTTAAAACTCCATGAGCTCATAAACCGTTTACACAATGGGTTATGTGGCTGAAAAAGTCACAACTTTGTATACAATAACATGCAAGTCTGCTTCAGATCGCAAGGGTAAACAGAATTGTCCATCAATCTTTATCGGATTCTAACGACATTCAAACTTACGCTTCTTATATTATAAATTGTTCTTAATTACTGATTTATTTTTATAAGAATGCAACCAGGGGGGTGCGGATCGTAGATGATGACTCTGACACATCTACCGCTAGCAACGTCGTAAAGGCATCAAAAAGGAAGGTATGCTGGAAAACGTCTGGTTTTGTTTTGTTTGTTTTTTAATTTTACTCAACTTAATTTATCTCAATTATTTATTTTTGTAAGAATGCAACCAGGGGGGTCCAGGACGTAGATGATGACTCTGACACATCTACCGCTAGCAACGTCGTCTTAAAGGCATCAAAAAGAAGGAAGGTATGCTGGAAAAGTTCTGGTTTTGTTTTATTTGTTATTTTGTTTTACTCAACTTAATTTGCTTTAAAGGACACATGACTTAAAAATTTTACTACTTAAATTATACTTTCATTTATCATAACTTTGAAAATGACACTGTATTTTCTAAAACAGTTTGTGCATATCTCTTTTCATGCTCGAAGTATTGAAGTTTTTGTAATGTCCGATCTATGCAATTTTCTACGTCATTTTGCATAATGAGAATTTGAAATAGCAGGTATATTTGCCAATATATTACCTCAACCGAGCAGAGTTCTCTTATTTTTGAAGAGACAATGGTATAAACAATTGCATGATCATTTCAACCAAAAGTTGACTTGAATATAAAAGATGTTGAATACTTTCCAGGAACTTAAAATGACGTAGAAAGTTGTATAGATCGGACATTGCAAAAACTTCAATATTTCGAGCATGAAAAGAGATATGCACGAACTGTTTTAGAAAATACACTGTCCTTTTTAAAGTTCTGTCAAATAAAACTATAATTTAAGTAGTAAAATTTTTAAGTCATATATGCCCTTTAACCATATCTTGTTGATTATTTTAACACTTTTTATTTGTCGATTCAGTCGTTCATCAGGCTATTGACCTAAGTTAATTCTTTTGTACGAAATTCTTTTATCGAAAGACTGCAACTAAGACGAAGGTCGTAGATGATGACTCGGAGTTGTCCGACGATGACAACGTTAAAGTGAAGCCATCCAAAAGGAAGAAGGTGGGTTCATTAATGCCAATTCTTTGCCTCGATTGTTTTCAAAAAGTTTGAAACCTGAATGTATTCACTTGTAATCTCTTCTTAAATTGTTATTAGTAATATACGTTAACGTTGTCAACAGACATGATTTAAAAAAATAATGGTTGATATAAAGACTAGTTTCTATACATCTACATATATGGTGCACTGCAAAAATGCTTGGTGGTTTCACAGACATGATTTAGATAAAATAATGGTTGATATAAAGACTAGTTTCTATACATCTACATATATGGTGCACTGCAAAAATGCTTGGTGGTTTCACAGACATGATTTGGATAAAATAATGGTTGATATAAAGACTAGTTTCTATACATCTACATATATGGTGCAGCGCTAAAGTCCTTGATTTTGGCTTGATGTTAATGTCATTATTTTCGTTTTACACAACTTGTGCATTTTACGTATTTGCTATTGATTTTTTAGAAATTTGCAGAGAAAGATGTCGTGGAAATCGACTCTGATCAATCTGAACCAACTAGTGCGCCTGTTTCATCCAAACCGTCAAAGCCACGAGCAAAGAAGGTACATGTTTTTAAATTTGCTACATTGTTCAAACTTATTGTAGATTGATTTTTATTATAGCTTGTTATAATATTTTCCACAGAAATATTATTTATATTCTTATTTGAACACCCTTATATCCGTGTTTACCATGACCAACTGTTGCTTTCTAACCGCTGAGCTGATCATTAAGCCAAGCACCCTCATGAAAAATTCTTGCTGGATCCAACACGCTGTTTATACTGTCTTTTATCCATTAGCCATAACCAACACGCCGATTTTACTTTCTTATCACTTGCTTACCATATAAAAAATTATTTTGTGCTACCTCTAGTCTAAAAGAACAACCAACACAAAGTCAACAACCCCACCCAAGAGAGCACGTGTTGTTGCTTTAAGTAGTGAGGACGACGATGTTGACAACTCGTCACCGGTTAAACGACCTTCCCGACGTCAAAACACTGCTAAAAAATATAACTTTGATGACGAAGATGAAAGCGATGAGGATAATGTATCAAATGCGGAGGATGATTGGATGGTGGATAACGATGATAGTGATTTTGACTTGTGATCGTAATGAAGCCTTGAGAATTCCTATCGAACTTGTTTATTGAAAGTTGTTTTATTCAGGGGATCTAATGAAAATCGTGGTTTCATGTTTTTACTTTCACTTGCATTGAAGCGTACTGCACGATTTAATTTATCATTTATACTGGGGGATAGGTGTCTAAGCTCAGTTTTTACCTTTAACAAATACGTTTATAAGTATCCTTTTATTTGTGTATGGCTTTATGTATATTACATTTAGGGCTTATACATATTCATATAAAGTCAAACTGTACAAATACATAAACATTTAATTTTGCTTCCATAAAAGTATAAAACAATACAATAAAACAATAAAACAATACATTCATTGAACAATACATTATAAGTCATCTAAGTCATTCATGTTTGAGGTCGTGAAAACATTCGCATGTATTTGAAATAGCCTTTTTGAGAGTGATATTTTTGCCGCCGTCAGAAGAACTTTCGCCTTCGTTTTCCGCCATATTTCATTTATGTTTATCAGTCCCAGTCTCTTCGAATACTGCTCTTGTGCCGTGAGATTTTGTGTGTGCCTTGAGAAGTTTTGTGTGTGCCGTGAGATTTTGTGTGTGCCGCGAGAAGTTTTGTGCGTGCCGTGAGAAGTTTTGTGTGCCGTGAGAAGTTTTGTGTGCCGTGAGATTTTGTGTGTGCCGTGAGAAGTTTTGTGCGTGCCGTGAGATTTTGTACGTGCCGTGAGAAGTTTGGTGTGTGCCGTGACACCTGTGGGCCACCGTAAAAAAGCGACGTATGAAACAGGCCTTAGGCATTTATCAGAGAGAATTAGATGTCAGTTTTAAATTTCTGACGTCATTATACGTTCCCAACTGACATATATGATCTACCGCCAACCACATCACTTCTGTATGATAGCTAAACGCCCAAATAAAACTTTTAGGCAAAATATTACTACTTATTATTGTATAATATTACTTATGAAGAAATAAGAAGATTTTTACAGAAATACCACGACATAGAATTAAGCATTAGCACTTTAAAGAGAAGAATAAAGAAATATGGTCTAGGAAGAAGGCAAGTTGAATACGACGTCACTACTGTAAGAGAGTCAATACGAACTATTGTTGATGGTCATGCCAGTCTTCAGGGTTATAGGTCAGTTTGGCACACTCTACGACTTAATGGCATACAAGTATCTCGAGTAGCTGTTCAGGAGATTTTTCGTGAAATATGTCCCGAAGGAACTGAACGAAGACGAGCACATCGCTTGAAAAGAAGGGAATACCAAATGATAAAGATTTGGTTGGTTGGTGTCTCACTAATGTTGCCATTTAATCGATGAAGACCTGCATTGAGTGACATGACACCAAGACCAAGACTCGTGCATACTCCAAACATTGTGGAGACAACGGAAAAAATATCAATAATATCACCAAAATATCCAAATATTCTATCACCAATCAATGGGTAAAAACAAGATCTAACGGTCATTGGAAGTCCTTTTCTGTACGTCACGATCGCCAAAAGCAATCCAGTAATAGAGTACACTACCCAACCATGAAGACCCCAATGAAATAATGTGAGATTCGTTGCATCTTGAGCTCTTTGATTATCTGAGTATCTAAATTATTCAGTAAGATATAATGTGCATGTTCACAAATATTTACAAAATCCATGTAACAAAAATAAACTGTAATATATTTTATTTTTGTTGTTTTGCATGACAAAGTCAGGTTGAAGTCTCCAAATAATTTCATTTAGAACAAACAATTTTGGCTTGCCAAATAGATTGAATAAATTTATCCACAACATAATTATATGTTCAAAAATATTATTTAACCAGTTTCAAAATGACAACGAAAAGATCGTTACTGCCACACGCTCTATCTGTACTGGCTTTAGCAAAAGTATACCAGTGATTTTAGAAATTCAAAAATAATAAAAAGTAATTGAAGTTTTCAGGGAGAAAAATATGCAAACATGTGCAAACACTTTAATGCTGTCAAGTTAGTAATGTTTTGTTTGATGACAAAATATGTTAACAATCTGAAACTTTTCTCGGCATGCCCAAAACAACTTTTCAAAAAATTTTCTTCACATTATGATTATAATAATTTAGAGGAGTCTTTTTTTGAAATTTCCTTGCAAATACAGTGTTTTACATTAGTAGAATATAATAATAGAAGAGTTTTGAAATTTGTACTGTTAACATTTTCATGTTAAAGAATACTGAAAGAAAATAAAATTCAAGACACATAAAATTTTTACGTCTTGTCTTCCTCCACCAGTTAAAGGGCTATACGTTGGGAAGTTTTTTAGAGCTTTACTGCAAACGCTTTATGTTACTGCATAATCAACAAAAAAAATCCAATTCCACTTTGTCAGCACGTGATGATCATGTTGTACATATAGCAAGTCACGTGCATAAAACCAGTTCAACTACTTAGCGATTTGAAAATACTTTCACACAAGTGAAAATACTTTCCACAAGTGGGAGGCGTGTTATGAATAGTTTTTATTAAATGCTAATGAAATGTAGATTGCAAAACGATTTTTTAGTACATAACGAGACATAAAAGCCAGATTTTCTCTAAAATAAAACTACAAAAGCCAATATAAATATATGCAATTATTTCAATATAAAAGTCGTGACGAACTATCAATATTTAAAATCATTTCAATGATTATTGCAAAATAAAACAAGCAATTACACACCTCCCCCAGTAACGATTTCCGTAAGGTTTCTTCGGCGAGTAATGTCCAACAGGCTCAGCTACACTAAAATAAAACAGGCCGATACCAATGCCTGCAGCGAACAACATTGTGAAATAAGTTCCATCACTGAACTCTGGTTCTTCGTCCTGTTTACCCAATTTGAGATTACTGTACTTCGAAAAATAGAGGTATATGAGGAAGACGGGTAGCACATTAACTGTGCCAATGTAGAACCAAGTAAAAGTGCTAGTTATCCATATCTTAATCGTTTTCATATCATTGTTGGCTCCTTTGGGTCAAGAACACACCAAACAACCCTAGGCTGGAAAGTATGTCGTTTTTCGACGAGATCTCCGGTGCGCACTATGAAATAACTGGTGTGCTGGTGTGCAAAATAAATTTTATGGTGCACTGGTGCGCATATGACGATCAAAGCATAATAATATTAAATTAATATACGAAGTATCGCTAATCTCGGTGTACACAGGCTCTTTCAGTGTTTTGTTGTGTCAAACATGTTGTACGTCGCAAAATCTTTGGAAGGAAAAATAGTAATTTAAGCAATATTGATGATACAGTGTGTGATATTTTAAGAGACTGAATCTTGCTTTGTAAGCCTTTGTTGCTATTAAAATATCGGAAGTTACTGTTTATAAAAATGTCATTTCTCAACGCATAACTTCCATTTGAATTGGATGTGAACATCTCAAATTTCGCCCACGTTTGCACAGAACTGTCAATTAAATTATTAAGGACCAACCAGTGACAGAATTTGAAAAGGAGCAGCTAATTTCCCTTAAATGCATTGAGGATCCTGCACTAGATTTGTGGTTTACTCTGAAATTTTCTTCGGGAAAGGCATTGAAAGCAAGGATCAACGAAGAATTTGTGTACACCAGCATGTACACAAATGAAGATATAATAAAGTCAATTGGCCAAGAAATGTGCATTGCCCTTGACATAGCTCGTTCCACAAGTGGTTGTGAGGCTATAGTAGAAGGATTTTATAGTCTTATCGTTACTCACAAGAAAACTGGAGGCCAATCTAATGAGGTTTTGGTTCATAGATCTATATGCCTCATTGGATTACCCTGCCATGCCCACAAATATGGCGGAATTTTGCCACGCCCAAATATGCCTGGTGTGCAATAATATTATTAAAAAAAAATCTTCGGTGCGCAGAAGACATACTTTCCAGCCTGGAAACAACCAATCCCCAGATTACTAAGGCCGATAAAACAGTTACAACTGGGTTCAAATTTAGGTGTATAGGGCCGAAATCAAATTTAAATGAGTGACAACGCTTGTTGCTCGTGGTTCTTTCCATCATCATCTCAAATATTTACGTTTTCACTCTACGTGCACAGATGACAACAATAATTATTCGACTTCACTAAGTCTAAATTTTCACTTCAATGAATAGCATGTTGTCAACATGTTTTTATTGGCTATTTCTACACTTTAACACGTGCGGTAAACTACTGGGAATTTCTGTATTTGATGTGTGAGGTAATTCAAGGGAAAATATATGGAAAAATACCCTCAAATGTGGAGATTGAGATTTTGACCTCAATCCACAACAGTTTAGTGGCCCCATCGTTAGCACCTGGGCAACCTCTTGATGGGGTGATGCTTCACAGAATTTTCAAACAGAAACCTGTCTATGTACGTCCAAGCTGCATGTTGCTGAATATAAAATCCTCTAAGCAATCCAGACAGGTATTTTCAAGGGCTCTAGGAGGGAATGAAAGGAAGTTATATTTTATGTTTAAGGCTCTCTTCGCTGAATGATTTTAAATATTTAATTGTATTTGCTGAGCCAAATCAATCACTTAAGGCTCATCCCATCTTAACCTAGATACATGTTATGAACAAAACATGCTTCCATATTGTCAATCAAATAATATTTGCAATTGGTAAAAAAAGAAATGCACCTTTTTATTTTTTTTAAAGGATGATGCAAATATCCCTGATAATGCATTTAATACTAATGATGTTGAGGATCAGTCTGGTTCCAATGCTGGTAGTTTAGTACAAAATGATCTTGCCAATGCCCCTGTTTACCATGGACAAATGCCTCCATGTGATTCCTCAAATGTGTTGCCATCAAGAAATGATATTACTGCCCCAGAACAGCAAGGAAGGCTTCCTGTTAATTCTGCTGATGATTTACCACAATTTCCTTCCACTTGTACGACAAATACAGTTAGTACAAGTCCCTCTGTTGACGTCAAAAATGCTACAAGTTTTGATTTAAGAAACAACATGCTCACAGCTGTGCAGAGACCAAGTGAAGAAATCTGTCTGTTGTCTGATGATTGTAAGAACCTTTTTTAATGCATTTGACTTCTTGATTTTAATACACATGGTGAGAGGGTCAGTTTTCAAAAAATATAGTTTTCTCTTAAGCACAATAGTTTTCTTACTCATAAAAATTATACATTTCTCCTAAACACAATGATTTCTTTCATATAAAAACTATGGTTTTCTGGCAAACACTATAGTTTTCTTTTAAAACTTTAGTTTTTACCAAAAAACCATAGTTTTCTATTAAAAACTATAGTTTATTTTTGTAAAGGTTAAGATTGTGCCCGTTGCACTTTTTTTGTCC